GCCTTTCAGACGCTATCGGTAGACAATGTGATGTATTTTTTTGTGTGTGATATGTGCTAAACCGGAAAGCTGCGGAACAAATAAAAAAGTAACGTATCCTTTCGGTTTCTTAAAAAGAACATTTATTAGCGTTTGCAGTTATTATACTTTGTTTCAGCTTCGGTCCGAGCGCGGCCGATGTTAGGTATCGAAGGGCCAACCAAACAACGAAAGAGGCACAACGTCATGGCGTGCTTTCTGCAGTTGATAGGGCCAGTTGGTATTCGCCAGTTCTCTGTGCGTGCTCCTCTGCCGGCTAGCTCTATAAAACGAAGAGAGCACGCCATGACGCTACGCTTTTTGCGCTCCATGATTGGCCCTTCGGCTCATAACATAGGCTGCGCTCGGCCCTAAGCTGAAACGAAGTATAGCGTTCACTCATGAATGAAAAAGGCGGTTGCGTCACTGATAAACCATGCCGAAGAACGTCCGCTATAGTTCACGCGCAATGTGCAAATCATTTGCCGGCAATGGCGGGAGCATAACGCCCAGAAAAAGCGATGTCGAAATCGAAACCCACTTTCACGCTTTCTGCGGGTAATACCATCAGAGCTGAGAACAGCGCTCAATCTAACCGCTTAATCTCGGCGAAGCGAGCGACAAGAAAGCTAGCCGCCAGGGCAGCCGCGTCATGGTGCTGATTGCACGCACCGGTCGACGGTCCGCCGTTCACCTTCATATCGCCTGCGGGTGTACACGTTACTGAAAAATGAATCTGATCGGTTTCAAATACTCCATTGAAAAATTATACTGAGTATAGAAACCAAGAAACTTCAAAATTAACGAAAGCTAATAGTTTAAAGGAACACCTTTTGGCGGGCAAGTTGGTTCATGATTTTGCATTTCACCTTGAAATTGTTTGAACGCTAGTACGATTACAGAGCTAGGTGCTTGGTACGACGGTAAGATTATATGTTCTTTCACAAAGGCAAACTCGAGTCATTAGGTTTTTAGGATTTTTTTTTTTCTATTCGAACTTCTTAAGCGTCGACAAGTTTTATTTCAAAGTTTTCGTCAGTCATCCGGCGCTGTCGTCCGCCAAATACGTCATCTCCGGCACACCTTTCGTGATTCGTTCTTTCTCTCTCAAGAGAGAGAGAGAGAAGTACAGGATCGTATGCTGCGAACACTACGCGCTACGATGCAGTCGCGCGATTTCATATAATAATGTCTCAAAGCTGTCTACAAAACTGCGTGCTTTTCTTTTTTTTTTCCGTCTAGTTAAAAAAAAAAAAAAACATTCCAATCGGCAAGAATTTAATGAAGTCGAAGAAATCGGTGGTACATCTTTAACGCTTGTGGCCTGAATGTCCAACGAGACTGAATGTCCAACGAGCCTGAATGTCCAACGGGCCTGAATGTCCTATCGGTCACGTGACGGGCGAGACGGAATGTACAACGAGACGAGAGATCCAATCGAGACGGAATGTCCATCGAGTCTGTATGTCCAACGAGACGAAAGGTCCAATAGAGACCGAATGTCCAACGTGCCTGAATGTCCAACGAGACGAAAGATCCAACCGAGACGGAATGTCCAACGACTTTGAATATCCAACGGCTGTGGAATGAACCTTGCATAGAATTTAGAAGATATTTCTTTTTTCGAATGGTAGGATTACTGATAGTTACAGCAGTGAAAAATGCGTTCGATGAAATGGGGAACTGGACGTTCCGGTGCGGAGATCTCGGTATGCGGTCGTTTCGGTACGTGGTCGTTTTGGTACCGGGCTTTTCGATGCACGGCTAGTTTGGTATGCCGCTGAGCTTGTCCCGCTGACGTTGCCCCAGACAAAATTGTGCTCGTGTATTTTGTAGACTTCATAAAAAAACACAAAAAAACAATACATTTATTGTTATTTTTATATATATAAATATAAAATAATTTGTATAATTAAAAAAATAACGTGGAAAAGGTCACACATGCTAAAAGATCAAAGACCGAGCTCGTTGACCATTGACAATCGGTCACGCGTTTGCTTTTTAGAAGGTCGTAACTTTGGCGCGGAAACAAACGTGGGGTCCACGAGAGATCTTAGAATCATTAATTGTGTTCATCCCCAGCCACAGCCTTCTTTCCGTGATGTACGAAATGCTGTATTTTCCTTATAGGTGTCCCCCGCATGGGAGAATAATGCCTGAATAAATTGTTAGTATTATTGTTAGGTCAAGTCGGTGTAGTATGTGTAATTACACTAAATTGTCGATTTTTTTTTTTTTTTTTACAAAACGAAGTTGAATGTTTAAGGCATTTTTTATTGGACATCTCGGTCTCCAGAAACAAAGATTCGTTCCTCATATAAAGATCAGTAATAAAATACCACACGATATGTCCTAAAGCGGTGAGCTTTCGTCCGGTGATTGTACACGATTTGTTTCGTACGCTTCGGTCATCAAAGCGAGTGATGTCGCAGTGAACCGTATGTTAAGCAACAAGTAGGTAATTTTAATAATGAATACAATACCTTTAAGATTGGCTTCCGTCGTTTTTGCTCTACCTTTTCTGGTCAGGTGCCATGCAGCAGTCGCACCGATACGCGCCCAGGTATACGATACCGAGGCTGCAACCGGATTTCAACTGGTTATAACTATTTCAAACACCCGCTGCGACAGTGCGACCGCGATTTATTCATATGCGCACATTACAAGTGGACATATGACCACAGGATCAGGAGGTCAACACCTCGCTATCTCTTTCCAGACCCATTATGCTAGAGTCGCGAGTGAACATATTCATGTAGAACCCGATTTTTTTTTTTTTTAATTTTGCACGACCCGGGTACGATTCACTATCGGACCTTTGTAAATTCTGAGAGCTGCATTTGTTCTACTTTTCTTTTTAAGAAAAAGAGTCTCATTATTGACCCCCCTGTCTGCGGCTATCTACACACCCCACCATAATCAACTCTTTTCGACAGTTCGATAAACGGGCACTTTCGCCCCATTCTCCATTCTGCGAATTGGCCTTTGGCGAATAGCCCGATTCGAACAATTCTTCTTGTTCCATGTTTTTCAGATACCAATGAAATATCAACGAATAGGCCGGATTCACGGTGCAATACGCTTACCCTAGAAGAACAGAAAGCCACGTGAAACGATCTATTGTTATATTCTCACAGGATGCAGGCTACTGGAACATCCCGGTGTGAATCTTCTGCTGCACGCCGAGATGGATGCGTTCGCGTCCTTTATCAGCAGTCAAGCTCCCACGTATCAAAACGTCATCAACCACCTCGACAGGATTGCGAGCTTCGGAGTGCTTTCAGAAGCAAGTCAAATTAGTTGGGCTTCTAAAAACCACTATGCATGTCACAAGCAGAAAAAGAAGTGCGTACTGCGTGATACTAGAATTTTCCCTCCAGTCTGTGACGTACCAACCTACTGGCTGGGAGTGCCTGCGCATGTAAACTACTGACAACTGCAGTGTACAGTGAGTAGTTGTCTGTTCCAAAGATAAACGAACAAAAATACAAATGTGGCGAATTCACACAATTGTTCTGCATTTACTCATGTACTCTCGGGTCACACCCCCAGCCCCTCACCCCTGTGCATTTATACGCGCCTTAGATGGAGATTTTATATAAAAAAAAATATATCTATATTTTTTTATTAGTGGGAAATTACGCGTGTGCGAACTGCTGATGCCTCGCACCAACAGCTCCCAAAGCTCCTTTCAAAAATTTTAAATATTGACTCTGCGCATAGTCAGTGGCGCTGGCGGGCGGACGTGTTTACAATTCGGGTCTCCGTATGCATCTAATCTATTGATTGAAACGGGCAGGGACGGTGGACCCAACTATAAATTCCTTGGATCTGAAGCGCGGCTTTCATAGACGTCCCTAACTGCCATGCACTAAAACACCCGGACACTGCATCCCTACTACATATTTCAAATTGGCTGACCTATGTCATCGAAACATTCGAAACGTTTCAACTGTCTAATCAAAGGAGCGTTTGGCGTCGTACAATGGACATATTTACCGATGGGTACGTAGCTGCGCATCGGCACTCAGCGAACTAACCATTATGCCTTCCTATAGATGAAATGAGAATACTTGTGTCTGCTCTATGCTTCTCTGTCGGTCCGTCAACGTCGGCTTCAGTGGGACGACATATTAGTATGGCAAAAATGCGGCAATGTCTCTAGGAACGCGGATTAAATATGAACACAACTCCGTATATTTAACAAGGCATCTTATTCTAACACGTGACTGGCGAGACGGAATGTCCAACATGCCTGAATGTCCAACGAGACGAAAGATCCCATTGAGTCGGAATGTACAACGAGACGAAAGATCCAACCGCGACTGAATGTTCAACGAGCCTGAATATCCATGATTGGATCTTCCGTCTCGTTGGACAATCAGACTCGTTGGACATTTCGTCTCGTAATTCATTTTTAACAACCTGCGAACTTTCCGCTATTCGCGAAACCGTACCACCATGTTTTAGGTCATCTCACAGAAGCTATAGCCGTCTCAAGCTCTATGATCAAGTGAAGCGTTCGCTATGAAGCAATGTAGCCGATCAAGCGGCGCCAAACGTCCATCGTCAAGGGGCTCGTCGGCCCTGTTTATTTACCATCACGGACTAGTCGAATCACGCACAGAAAAGAGCGCACGATCGTGGCGCATTCACTGCGCGTGTCCGGTTTAAGCGGTGATATTTTAAACACATCAAGACGACACGCGCCGAGACAATGCGTAGGTGGCGCTGTATGATTGACACCATCGGTGGATATAGTGTCGGCTGCGCTAAGACTAGGAGCAAAACCGAGTATATTGGCGTCGTCAAGGTTCGTGGCACGTTTTATTATTTTAATTTGCAAAACTGCTAACGGAATTCCCAGTTTGTAATCAGGTATCACGTCCTCTCAGTTTGGCATAAGATAGGTGGCGTTTAAAGGAAAACAAAATGCGCCAAAATCAAGAGAGATCCGGGAGCGAAGAAATAATGCATCTCACCTTTCGATGGTTCCGCTCAGAAGTGCGTTCAGTAGCTGTGTACAAACCGCGGGTCAAAAATATGAAGATATTCAATACGACACACCACTTCATTTTCGAGATATTGGCAAGCACTTCGCGAAAATGGTTTTATCATTCTTTATTTTTATCGCTACAGAAGTGACACTATCGGCACGTCGCCTTCAAGAGAATTGTTTTCCGTACGTCGAGAACAATAAGCGTGCCATCCGAATATTTCCCTTGTTAAAGGGAAGCTGAAACACTTCTTGAAAAAAACGAGTTAGAGGTGAATTCTGGCGTATTTTTATCCCGTGAATCTGAATATCACTTTTGTTTTCCCTGAAGATGCAACTAAAAGCGAGAAAAAGCGAAAAAAGATTCGACCAGTCGTGACGTCATACTAGGATCTTCGGGCCGCCAAGCGCGTGTCGCTGGTGTGTTCAGCGCGTGCAACGGCAAGCTTGCCAGGTATATTTCCCCGCACTGACACCAGTCGTGACGTCTCTTTCTGACCTTTCTGAAAATAGCAAGAGTGCGCGTGCATAGCTTTGACAGGCGCTGAAGATGCGCGAGAGTAGATATTCCGAAGGCTCCTAGTGTGACGTCACACCCCGGGAAGGAGGGGCTTCGGCGGTACTTTAAAAATTAATTTCTGAAGCCTCCGTGCACCAGATTGAAAAATAATCTTGATATTCCTGATCCTGGAGGCAGAATAAAGGCCATTGAAATGTTTTTTCTCAAATAGAGAACCGCTTCAGTTTCCCTTTAAGGAAGAATTGGATAGATATGACGTCTGTGGGGGTCGTCTGATTTAAGTTTATCAACCCAAAACCTGTCACCTAATACCGCGTCTCGCCGGGGTGTTACCTGTCCTGTGCTAAAGAAATTATCACTTTCTGTCAATAAAAAAAAAAGAAGCTATCTTTCTCTTATTTCTCTCTTCTTATCTTTATATAGGTTGTTTTTTAAGCTTTAGAGATTTGTTTAAAAAAAAGCCGTGAAATATCCCTTATGAAGTTTGTTCAGGTGAGTTATACGGCCAGGGAGACAAAATATAGGGGGCTAATCGTAACGACCAGTCTGCTATTTAATGAAAATTCGTTAATTAACTTTGTAATAGTAAAATTGGACATATTGTTCCAATTAGAAACTTTCTGAGCGTCATCGAAAACCACTAAATCAGAAATTTCCCCAAAAGCTTTGAGCGCGTGACAAGCGTAGTAGTGCCCTAAAGCTACCACTCGTCGAGCAGCTACAAAGCTAGCGGTTGCAGAACGTGGACGATTAGATTATCCTCGCGTTCCGCGACTGCTAGTTTTGTGCCTTCTGCACGAGTGGTAACTTTGGTGCGCACCCGAGTTTCCCACGAGCTTCAAGTCTTTCTAAAAAGAGTTGATTTAGTGGTTTTCGATGACGCTCAATAAGTTCCTAATTGGAACCATCTGTAAATTTTCACTAATTAATAAGTTAATAACAAATTATAATTCATTAGCCGACTTATCGGAAAGATTAGCCACCCACATGATGTCCCCCTGACCGTATAACTCAGCTCCAAAAGTTGCATAAGTGTAGCGTTTCCGGCTCTTTTTCAACCAAATCTGTAAAGCTAAAGAAGAAGCACCCTCTATTAATATATATGGTTGATTTCATCTCAACTCAGGCACACCTTTTGGGTAGAATTTTTTTATTTTTTTAATACATGTTACCGGGCAATTCCTATAATTAACGAAGACGTAAAGGGCAAGTTCGTCGGATTTTGTATTCTCAAGTTATGGAACGTTGAAGCGGCCAAGGTAAAAACTGCCATTTTTCCAGCTTATCGGGGGTGCCATATTTCACTCCATACCTTTCCCTTTCTTCTTACGGTACCTCAATATAACTCTTTAGGTACACTTTCGACATATGCTTTTTTATGCTAATTAAGCGTCTAGGTCATAAAATTCTTAATGTATTTTTTTCTGTTTGTCAAACCGCCTCTCTGTGACGATATTTGACGACGTTGAGCAAACTGTGCTGTCTGACCTAATCAACATATTTATATGATCTTTACATCACCGTAACGCACCAATTAAGTTCTTTCTTTTGAGTATAATCTCAATATTGTGCAATAAATATATAATGCGCTACATGTGCCTGAAAAACGGATATTTAAAAAAAATAGCAAGATTGGAGTCGATTTTTTTTTTTTAAACCCATCCTTTGATTTTTTTTATTTTTTATTCAGAGTTGGGTAATAGAATAGTCTATAAGAACTACCAGCAGAAATTGTAATATATTTTTTGTATGACCGCTAAAATGACTCGAATCTTGTGCTGTGAGAGTTTTGAACGGGACTTCGCACAGGCGCTCTGCTGAGCAGACCTTCAATTCGCAACATTTCTGAAACAGTTCTTGCTTCACGAAAAAATACTCTCCTTTCTCTGTTACACGCAACATCAAATTTGTTACCATTAGAAAGAGTAAGCTTTCTGAAAATACTCAATATGTCAATACTCCTCTTATAAGCCACACGGAAGAGCTGGTAAACTTTCACAAATATCGTCCAAAAACGTGATATTGACAAATTTTCTAAAATGTGTTTCATATAAATAATCGCGTTCAAATATTTATTATAGAATAAGTGTGTTCACAGGTATCTATTAAAAAAATAAAAGGCGCCAATTTTGAGTTATTGCATTTTTGCGAGTAAGTTGATTTACTGACAAAACAGTCAAAGAAAATCAGATTTCCAGCTGTTATAGCTGCCATACAGACAAAATATTACATTTTCTATTTATAATACCTTATAAAGCACTGCAATTGCTAGCCAGAGAAAAAAAATCAGCCAAATAAAAGTTTTTTTTTTTTTTTTTAGAAAATGGACCTCTAATTTGCTAATATTTTCAAATAGTCCTTGATTTGAATACACTGCCCTTTCTCTTTTTCACACAGTGTGAAATTTGTTATCAAAAGGAAGAGTATACTCCTAGCTTTCTGAAAATACTAAATATGTTAGGATATTAAATAGGTCACACGGAAGAGCTGATCAAACTTTGACAAATATTGTCAAAGGGACACCCTTTGGCAATATTTAAAACAAACGTGAAGATAAATATTCACGATAAAATGATTGAACATAAATAATTTCTATGCTGAGACTGGCCCAAAAAAGTTACACTGCACTACTGAAAAAGGTCAGTTTGCGCCTCGGCTGCTTAAAATGTCCACAACTCGAAAGCAAAAAATCGCCCGAACTTGCGGTTTGCACTCCCTGTCACAGAAGGGATTTCACCAAAACATATATTTTATTAGTCAAAATTAAAATTTAGACCCCAAATTTGTGCCTGAGTTGAGACGAAACCGCCTATATGTATATGGATTGCATATCTGTTTGATATAAGAAAATATAACAATTGCATATCAAGTTCGGTATTTCAAACTCAAAGCCGAAAGGCAAAAGCCCCAGAGGAATTCTCTAACGATCTGCATTCCCCCGTATTGAGAGGAAGTAAGCGCTGGTGCCCGCACTTGGGGATACGGACTTCTAAGTAACCTTTTTTAAGTACACTAGTCTAAATTTTAGTAATATTTATGGTTGGATATTGGGGTAACTGATAACGGTAAGTAGAAAACCTTACATAGGCCAAAATTTTCCTCAGCAGAGCGCCTGTGCGAAGTCCCGTACAAAATGCTCATACCACGAGATTCGAGTCTTAAAGGGACTGTGACAGGGTATTTATGCTCGCCGAGGTTTTTAGTTGTACATGACATATGAGAGCCCAACTACCCAGAACACAATTTGCGGCTCGGAATTCGGTTTCTTTCTGCCCGAAAACCGCCCATCAAGAACTGGCCGGCTCAAGTCTCGCTCACTCTCTTTTCCGTGGTCATGGGCCGTTTTCTAAGGTTTCGACGCGACCACCAAATTTAATCAAAGTCGTGTGTCACAGAAGGCAAAGACACAATATTAAAAATAGAAAAAAAAAATATGAAAACAATTTTTTTAGCTTCTAAAAAGCTGCAAATACGTTGATTGAAAAAAAAGTTGCTCAGAAAACCGTAAGCATTCTGTGCGTGCGTCGTTTCACGTATTGTGGGATTCGCGGGGACGGCGATGGCAGTGGACGACGGGCGTGGGGCCTCTACTTCAGAACTGTCGTTCGTGGTACCGGCGAATTCTGTCTGCTTTTAAAAGAGAAATTTGGGACTGATCAAAAGAAGAAGTATTCATCCCGTACGACACGCCCAACCACCAAGCCGCTTCGCACGAAGACGTCACCGAGCCGTCGCTCCTTTCTCGTGGTTGAAGACACCGCTCGCGGAAACATCAAGCACCGCACGAAGTGTGCACTTCGAGTTGAATATGCACGCGTACGATTTTTTTACTAGGTGCGAATGTCGTGAACACGTGGTGGTTCGACTTAGACCCGGGTGTGCTTTCGCTGGAAAAAAATCGGCAGCAAACTTTCAAACTTACAGTTTACTGGCTGCATTATTACTGAGGCGGGAGTTCCCCAGTAACTCAGCGGAAAGGCGTCCGCTTCACACGCGGCAGCACCGGGTTCGATCCCTGTTGAAACCGTACTTTTTTTTCTTTTTTCGGACATTTGGCGATGTTTGCATTTCTTTTTTTTTTTTTTACAATTATCACTGAAGAAACAAACAAAACAATAACAAACAAATCTTGTGGACAAAACGTCGCTGAACTAAATGGTATGGGATTTCCTTTTTGACACCTCCGAACTCAATATAATCAGTTTCCACAAAATGCAAGGAGCATATAAATCAGGTAGCGTCCGCTTTCCGAGGTGCCCGTAGATGTTCTACAGGAATTGCAGCCAGCCATTCGCCCCGATCCCGTTGATCTTTCGGAAATTCTGTCGCAGAATAACACTTTTTTCAGACGCAGGACATGTGAGCTAGCTCTTCACGCAACATCTTAACTGTATTCTTTTCGGAGCCGATTACAGAAATTTACCACGGGCACTCACTACTCATCTCCAACTCCTCAATGAACAAAACAACTCATCTTGACGTACAGAACAGCGCGCGGAACAAACATAACTGCGAAAGAATCGCACGGCAAACAGTTCGTGCTACGCCGCCACGCATGTAATCTGCTACGCAGAGGAAAAAAAAAAAAAAAAAAGCGCACGGTCGGGTGCAGTTACGTGACTTCTGCCACTCACTC